ATAAGTGCACAATTCTTCTTTCTAAAAAGAAAGGGATGGATAAATGAGAATTGATTTTGGTAAGAAATACATGTTCCTTAAAATGGATTTCGAGCGGGGGCAGTGAGAAAACCTTGATATTAAAAAGAAGGTTCCGTGCAATCTACCGATATCCAGGTTAGAGAAAAGCCCCAGCACTTCCCCTTTCCTTTGGGGCAACTAGCTTATTCATTTCCATTTTGAAGGGTCCTACTCAGAAAGTGCACAGATCCCAAAGCTCAAATCGACCACCACACAAGAAATGATGCTTTGGAGAGCTTTTATGAGACCAGGTAACCTCAACTTTCCCTCCTGCTTAAAGTGTGGAAGAGGAATTCACATGGCACCAGAAGAATTCCCAGATGGCTTGGAAGTTGAAGCATGCACCAGAAGACAGGCAATTTCCTTTAAAACACCCAGTAAGGTAATCAGTTATGTCACTTCAGCATATGGTTAGGGTATTCCAGCTACTTCTCACAGTTGCTTTATCATATAAGCTAAGAACATCCTAACACTTAGGAATGCTAGACATTCATAAGACAGTGTGCTGTATTAACCAACCCAACTAATTTAAAAAAAAAAAAAAAAGGAAAGAAAGAAAACAAGGAAAAAACCCTACCACTGGTATTGAGCCCATTCAGAAGGGCCCCAGTGTAAATACACTGTAGCCTGCCCAACTTAATCACTGGTGTAAATGCATCAACTTCATTGAGAAGAAATATTCTGAGGTATAAAACCAGCCATCCTACGACAGCGACCCCAAAGGGGCCTCTGTCAAATGCCTGTGCCTTTTGACAACATGTTCTGAGGAATATTTGTTTCCAGGGAAAGCTTTACAAAACAGGGCGTGCTTACAATGCAAGAGAGCCATGGCTATCAGGCACACCTTTCTCTAAAGACTAAAACAAATGTATATTTCTTTTCTTCAAAAAAAGAGCAATTCACAACAATTACATTTTCAAGCTGAGGACAGCTAACTTTGTAATACGCACAACAATGTCATTCCCCTGGAAGTACACTGTTTCTCTTCCTTTTACAATATTGCCAGGTGCGTATGTCTGAAATATTGAAAGATCCAGGTGAACTTAGAATCATAGAATTGTCTAGGCCAGAAGGGACCTTCAAAGGTCATCTAGTCCGACCTCCCCGCAGTCAGCAGGGACATCCCCAACTAGACCAGGTTGCCCAGGGCCTCGTCGAGCCTCACCTTGAGTATCTCCAGGGATGGGGCCTCTACCACGGGCAATCTGTTCCAGTGCTCCACCACCCTCACAGTAAAGAACTTGTTCCTAATCTCCAAACTAAATCTGCTCACCTCCAGCTTAAATCCATTGCCCCTCGTCCTGTCACTGCAGGCCTTTGTAAACAGGCTCTCCCCGGCCTTCCGGTAGGCCCCCCTCAGGTACTGGAAGGCCGCTATTAGGTCTCCACGGAGCCTCCTCTTCTCCAGGCTTCTCCAGCTCCCTCAGCCTGTCCTCGTAGCAGAGGTGCTCCAACCCCCTGATCATTTTAGTGGCCTTCCTCTGGACCCGTTCCATCAGATCCATATCTTTCCTATACTGAGGGCTCCAGACCTGCACACAATACTCCAGGTGAGGCCTCACCAGAGCAGAGTAAAGCGGAAGAATCACCACAGCAAGGAAGTACAAATGATTAAGAGCTGCCCTGAAAGCAACTTGCCCGCTGATGAAGGCTAATCAGAACAAGACCTGTGCAACCCACACACTGTGTAAGGCTGGAAAATCCCCCTGGGTGATAGGAAAACATAACTTTATTCCAGGTTTTTTGAAGCACCACCATGACTGACTGACACAAATGCTCCAGCTGGAACAAAGCCAATAATTAATCAGGATTCCTTAGAATTTGGGGGTAATTTTAGCAGAACAAGAAATACAGAAGTATCAGTGAGTCCTGAACTTTCCTCCAGGACAAAAATCCATTACTTCATATAAGTCCATTAAAACACTTCATCAAGCCCTTTTAATCCCTCTTAACAGATTTGCTTTATCACAGGCAGAGGAACTAATCCTCTCCCACCTGTCTTTATGATATGGAACCATAAACAAGAGCAAGTACTTTTCATTTGTTAAGCATTACCCCGCCTTGGATAACACTATCATCCTCCACACTAGCATTAGTGTAACGAACACGTCTTTAGAGAAACACCCCAACTCTCTCAAATGGTCATGCTAGTTAGCAACGTGTTCCTCCAGCAGGGAACATGGAAACTGACTCACCGTTCCAAAACTCATCTCCTACCATGAGTTTCAAGACATTAAGTTAACCAAGATCTGCACTCTGACTTGCTGGAGGGACTTCTCATTTTCCATCAGCCCAGACCTTACGTGACACATTTCAGGATTCTGCTGTGTATAACCAGATGGCAGGCTAGTTCAAATCCACCACCAACCTATACAATTAGGTTAGTAGGTCAGCTGAACCTACCGCTTAATTACACGATCATTTTTATATGGAGTTCTCTTTATTTTTCAAAATAAGATTTCAAAACTACTTGAAAACAGCTAAGAAATATTTTTTATGATCTACCTCTGAGCCTGGTGCTCTACAGACACGTAAAGTAACCTGAACAGCCCACTGACAAATTTTGGGTTGAAAAACTGAAATCTGCACATCAGTCTCCTAATTGCCAGAAATCTCATTAGCATTGAGCAAACCCCCTTACAAAGGACAGTATCTCTAGATGGTCATTCCTGCTGCTATATTATAGAAGGTAGAACAGATTGTAATGACTGACCACACAGGACGTATTTTAAATAACTTGTCTCTTCGAGCTGCAGAGGCTTACTTCATACATCTGTCAGCTTGCTCTTTTTTTTTCCACACCAGAAAGACATTCATTTGCTCTCATGCAACCCTGCCTGGTTCTACACCACAAAAATCTGTCTGCCTGAAAAAAGTCAGAGTCATTTCCACAAGGCAATGACCTTCCAGAGGTTCCAGAGGACCTGAAAGCGAACTCAAATTTATCAATGTGTCTTAAGTACAAACCATACAGCATCTAACCCAAGAAAAATAACTATTATTCTCCTTCCTTTAACACTACCTTCTCTAGGTAACACCTGGCAATCAGAAAATCATTTAAGACATACAAAGAACCGTTACCTTCTCATTGCTGTGTGGGTCAAAGTCAAATTATCCTCCTGAGAAACTGCAACCTCAAGTTATTCCCAAAGTTCAGTTAATGAAGGGAGCATTAATTAGCATGACTAACTAGAGCATAGGTTTTGTTGATTTTTTCAGAAAGAAATCTGAAACGGGTTTCAGACTGTGACAGCTTCAGACTGTTTCAGGGCTGTGACACAGTTCACGATGGAAGATAACTGATAAGAATACACACGGGTCCTTTGGCCTTTCTTCTCTTCTGCTAGGAACCCAACCGAACCAAACCAAACCCCCATAGAAATCTCCTGGCTGGAAAAGAAAGAGACAGAAGGAAGCAGTATAACGTTTTTCTTGAAGAGGAATAACTAACACCCTTCAAGCAAACTGACTCAACATAGAGCTGGCTTGTATCCAGCTACGAAAAGGCAGTTGGCTTGGTATTTTTGAGTGTCAGTACGGTCTTAAAGATGGTCATATCTGACCAGCGGTGACTGTTTGACAAGGATTTCATTGTCTCCCAAGGGCTGGTTGCAGCTGTCACTGTTAGAGAAGCATCAGTGATAGGAAAGCAGTACAAAGAGTATCGCCTACTTCTCAGAAACATTCTTCTCCTGGCTTTACATCATGTCATGAAGAATAAATCTTGGAAAGCAGACTTCATATATATATTTATTTTTATATATATATATTACTGCCCTGCAAGCCTCCCAGCCTGTCAATTTTGTCACACCAAAGCTGGGAGAGCAGCATTACCAACTGTATATGGCACCGCAAGCCCTTTCCTAGATGTAACCAGACAATAATTTCACTTTATACCTCACAGAAGTCATCCATGCCATTGAATAGAGAAGGCAACTCTTCAGTCAGCTCATTTTATGACACTGGATCAGCTTTGATGGAGTTAACTACAAAAGCCAAGCTTATTCAAATCATCAATATGCTAGGAGTCAGAACAGCTTGAATATGGCAATTGAAAGCAGCAAGACTTCAAAACACAGAATGTGACACATTTGTCAAGTTATTACTATGTTCTTAAAGTGGAGTTTCTCTAGAACCACTTCCTCTGAAGACGATGTGAAATTACATCCATTTAATAAACTTTTTACTTTAGAAGAATTGTGTTGTTAGCCTTGACCCCCATGAACAGAAGAATGAGGTCTCCCCATTCACTCTTAATGAAAAGCTTTTTTGTTGAATATGTGTTAAACGGCCACAAGTAGCTGTGACACTTAGGTCACCCTTAAGAGCCTTTAATTTAAAGACAAGATAGATTCAGTTGACATGGGGAAAACCTAAGGGAAAAGAACCAAACAAGCCATAGACATAGGCACAAGCACACACACACCCCCAAATTTCAAATCTAGCAGACTACAGCAACACAACCATTATTTTTCATCCTGCCTCTTGCTTTTTATTTAGATTTGAGCTTGGTGGATTCATTACTTCAGTTGAGGTACAATTTAACCAGCCAATAAGTTCTATATAGGAAAATTTAAAATAGGTTTTACAGGTTAGTTTGGTATTCTTTAGGAAACAACTCTTTGAAGTTAAGGTTTCCTCCTCCATGACTGTATTTCCGAACTCTTTGGTAAATAAATAGGGCCTACACTTCTTGGCACTGTTAAGCACAACATATACATTCAATTGTATTAAATATCCCATAGCAAAAACTTACTTGATATATAGTCAGCAAATGTAAACTTAGCTAAACTAAACTAGAGCACAGACTAGTGGTTTTGAAGTATCAATAGGAAGTTACTTGCTACCTGATAGATCGCAAGGAGGAGAAACTCCAACAACCCAGTAATATGCGTATGTAGCTCACAACCTGTCATTGTAACAAAAGAACTCAAGAGCCATTTTCATTAATTAATATATTTTCTGCATTATAGTTAACATATGTACTTTCTTCGTGTCATCCTTATTTCGTTAAGTATTGATATTTTGTTATATTCAGACATGAGTACATTTTCAAAGTCTTTTGCAATAAATATCATAAAATAATAGAGATTCACATAATAAATATTCTTTACAATAAAAAAAGTTTTAACAGACTTTTGTCTTAAAAATAGTTGGGATTCAACTTTGTGTTTTATACATAAAATATACAAAAAAGGACCACAATTTGTGGCTAAGGCAATAAAACAGGGACAGAATAAAATTATAAAGTACAGAGCAGAGCTAAATTCACTAAACCAAAGGAGCACAAGAAAGTTTAAGTATTCAAGAACGTTTAGGTGACTCATTGACACCTGAAGGCTGTTTGGATATATGAACACCACCAACTTTAATATCAACTGATACTGACAGACTATAAAAACGGGAGTAGAAGGGTGGAGTGAGCAATATCCTTCAAAGACTTGACAGCAAAAGAAACAAATGAGTATGTTGCAGCCATAATGTCTCCAATGTGAAGATCTACATAGTGTAGCAAAAACTGAAGTTACATTGAAAATGTAAAAAGGAGGAGGCAGGGTAATTCTCAGGACTGAGAATGTTCCAAAAGTTAAGACAAAAAGAAAGGGAAGGGGGGAAAAAAAGGGCGGAAAAAAAAAAAAAAAAAAAAAGAAAAAAAAGCAGGCTGCTTACAGAAGAGTCAGGCCTTTCATTTGGTAAAGCCTTTATTTTACATCCCTCTCCAGAAAGAGCACACACACAAAGTTATTTCAAAATCCAGCTCACTCATGAAAGTTATTCTTCCTTGGTACCCAGGGGGTTAAGAAAAAAAAAAGAAGATAAAAATTTGCTGAGAACAAAAAACATCTTTGGGAAGATATTCACAGAGCAAGAAGCTTCAAGAGCCCAGTGAGCCCTCACCGTCTCTTTCAGGAGTGGTTCAGTTACAAACTCAAAAGACCCTGCCCACGCGGGTGGCAGATGCAGATACCAGGTCCACACTTACCAAAGAGCAGCAATGACTACGTAAAAAGCTCCACACTCAGCCAAGTCAATGGGAAGAGGAGAGCAAAGATGCACAAGGAAGAACTTGTGTATTTGAAGTTGGGGAGACAGAAAGGAAAGCAAAAGAACAGCCCCGTCCCCCCGCAAACGGAGGGGGGAGCAGGGGAGGGAGGGAAGGGGAAAAAAAAATATCAGCTACAACCTGAAAAACTGAAGTTGGAGGAAATAAACCTCCCTCCAAAAATCATGAGGGCTTGCCCTGACCCCGTGAGGGGCAGCTCTCCAGTTTACAATAGACTGTGTTGGAGTTCTTGCATCGGCAGCCTGGACGATTGAGGCGGTCGTAACACCCTCGACAGAGTTTCAGGCATCCTTTTGCGGGCGGGTAGCAGAGCAAGCAGGGCAGAAGCAAGGACATGGCTCCCATGCACAGGTACCTAGAACAGCAGTGTGCCTGGGAACAAGAGCAGGGATTATCCGCGTAAGAGTCCCCTTCATCGTCGTTGGAGCAGTGGTAGAAGATCCCTTTGACCAAGCACATGCAGGTGCCGTACTCCACCATGCTCTCCGCGGAGCACAAGCACTGCCGGTTGCAGGCCAAGCACGACGGGAGGGCCCTGGGGGCCGTGCACTCCCCGCACTTGCACTTCCCACACTGTTCGCAGATGAACTTGTGCTGCGTCAAGTCCTCTTTCAAAGGACCCTTCAGGTCATCGACGATCAGCGACGACTGCTTGGGCTGCGTCCGGATGGTCCGATCGGACCTGTGGCCGGAGCCCGCCCTGGACGGAGGGGACCGCCCCAGCAGTCCTTGCTCCGAGGAAGCGCTGCTGTTGCTCCCGGAGCTCGCCGCGCTCCCCGTGCTGGTCGACCTGCTCAAGACGGGAGCCCTTGCGTTATGCTGGTGTGCCACGTGACTGGGTCTGTGTTCATAATTATTATTCACATTAATTGGTATAATTTCGTGAGTCCTTTCATGCTTCTCTTGCCTCGGTGCTGTCCGCGGACCAGACTTTTTCACCACAGATGGACCTTCGGTGTATTCGTTGCTGCCCCTGATGGCCTTGATCTGGTCCAGTGACAAGATCGTGGTCGGCTGGCTCTCTCTGTCATAGTCCAACCGTTGCCGGCTGTCCAAGGAGGGCTGCTGAATCACCACTAGTGAACCACCACTGCCATGTTGACTTTGGGGCTCCATCTGTAGTGATCTCTACTTCTGGCATTCAGTGGGAACCTGGCATGCATCTGAAATCCTAAAATAAGAAGACAACAGAAGGTATAAATAAACACTGTGTGTTTTCATATATACAGGCACACATGAGATCAAGGGCAAAAGATGAATAAAAAATGGGATACCTTTTGAAAACTGAAATGATATGGCAAACCACAAGTTGCCCCAGCCACCTGGTACTGATCTCTTTCAGCAAGGGATTACAGCAACGCTGAGGACCTGGCCAAAGTCCAGTAATGGGGAGAGCCTAGGTATGGCATCACAGATGAGGAATGCAAAGGAGACCCCATGCCATTTTAAAAAAAAATAAAATCCTGGTATTAACCAGTATGCTTACTTGCCAAGCCATGGAAAGTGCTTCTCGCTTGTTACAGAGCTCAACATCTGTCTAACCAGCAATCACAATTCTGAACACCCCCAAAACTGAGTTGGAAACAGATAAGGACACCATCAGGTTCCTCTTCTGTACAGCAGAGTAAAGAACGTGCACAGTCCTCACTCTTCAGTCTGAACGTGCAACATCAGAAAGCTCAACAGATTTGCTTCCGAGTCCATTTGGAAAGTCTCCTTTTTAAAGTGACGTATGCGCATTACAGAGTCTCGAATTAAATACTGTCAAGTGGCCAAGACATTTTCTATAAGCAAGTAACTCAGCATACAAATCTAACGTGCTCCTTATCAACTCCAACCAAGGGTGCAAACAGCCTGTTTTCAAGTCTCTTCTGACCACAGGCCAGGTTGTGAAAGAAGAAGGGGTAGAAAAGGCAAAGATGAACTAGGTGCCAGAGAAAAAAGCACCTAAGGATTCATAAGAATGATAAGAGCAGACAACTCAAAAACCCCAACAACCTCAAAACACAATCAAAAGCCACATCCATTTTCACAAGACAGACAGATTACAAGCTTCTCAAGTAAAAACAACATCTTCTAGTCTCCTTTTTAAATAAACGTTACCCATTCTCATTCCACCTAGCTACTGACATGAAGATTGCAAAGCCAATTGAGAAAACTGCAGTGACAGTTCCATACCTGTACAAAAACTGAGGCGAGTATCTAAATGCCACATTTATACAGAGAACCAAGAAAATAAACTGCTTTCTTTTACTGACAGTTGGGGGAAAGTGCCTTTTCACTCCCCCCGAGATGTCATACATGTTTACCTGAAAGAGGAGAAAAAAAAATTCTAACAAGCATTTGCGAAACTCATCCAATGATCCTGAGAAAGAGCCCGTCTTGCCTACCCAGAGCCCAGCTGGCACAGAACTGTTCCCCACTCAAGAAATAAGGAGTCGGGTGGAAACACTGGGAGGGACGAGAGCGAGAAGGTAGGAAGCATCTTTATCACTCTGACCCCTAATAAGTGGTAAGGGTCAGCTTCTCTCAGGATACGAAATCTTTGTGCTCATCCAGATTTCATTTCACATATAACATCACCTGTGCAGGCTTCAGGGTCGCCAGATTAAGAGGGGGGAAAAAGAAAAAAAAAAGAAAAAAAAAGAAAAAAAAAAAGCCAGTTCACTTCTAATTCACCCCACATAAGAAGCTGCCTTCTTCACGAGCACCGAATATAAATCCACAACAGACCGAGAGTGAATGAATGTGAAAAGGGGAAGATTTACAGCTGTACCAACCCCGAGCGGGGCTCCCCGGGGGGATGAAAAATAATATCCCAGGAAAATGCGAAAGACATCCAGTGCCATCTTTGGGGAGAAAGTGCAACATCAAGGCGGCGGGCAGAGCGACGCGACCAGCTGCAGAGCGCGGCACAGTTGAACAAACCACCGTGCAAACAAAGTTTTAAACTGGTTTTTGTGCGCGTCCCCCCTTCCAGCCCCCCCAGCCCATAAAATAAAACAACGTACAGCAAGAAGGGAGAGAGACCTCATGTTTCCGCAGCTCCTCCGCCCTTCCCACAGCTCAGCAATCCCCCTCTCGCCCCCCACACCCGATGGGAAGGGGGTCTCGTCTCGTCCCGTCCAGTCCTCCCGTCCCGCTCCCTCCCGGCCCCGGGGCGCGGAGCGGAGCCGCTGCGGGAGAGGAAGGAAGAGGAGGAAAAAAAAAAAAAAAAAATATGAATGAAAAAAAGGGGGCTTTTTTTTTTTTTTCTCCCCCTTTTTTTTTTTTTTTTTTTTTTTTTTTTTGAGAATTCCATCTTTCTCACAGCACTGAAAGGAAGAAAAAGAGCTTTATTTAACTTAGTACAGTATAATGTGTGGTGTGTAAGGACCATTCTGTATGCTTCTACCTTGGCCCTCTATTGCATGTTTTTTTTTTTCTTCTCCCCTTTCGCAGGGGGAGGGCAGGGACCGAGGCCGTTCCTTCCCCCCCCCTCCCGGAGGGCGGACTCCCCAGCATTTAAAGCTGCAGCGCCCGGCCCGACCGGCCACTACCGCGCCGGGGATTCCCCGCCGCCACCGGCTCCCCCCCACCTGCCAGGAGGCGTTTGGTTTTATACATATAGATATATATATACACACGCATTATTTTTTAGCTTTATGCTCATTTTCAGCAATGGGAGGAGCTCCCCCCGCTCCACCACGCACACGCACCCACACACACACCCCCCCGGCCCGTGGGGTCTCTCAGGTCGCCCTGTTCCTCGCCCACGGCCAGTGCCGGCGCCACCCGCCGAAGCCCCATATGGCCCCTCGGGATTTTGCTGGGGGGGAGCCCGGCATCGCCCGGCGGCACCTGCTCGCCGCTCCAGAGCGGGACGAGCCCCCACCTCACTTAATTCCACGGGGTGGCCAGTAACGGCACCAGTCCAGTCGCCGGCGGCTGGCAGGGTGACGGGGGCAGGGTGCGCGGTAGCTCCTCGTCCCTCGCGAAGCCCTCCCGGTTCTCCACTCGGCGGAGCGGAGGGGGAGCCCTGCCCCGCCGCAGCCCTCCGGCGTCCAGCCTTCTCTACCCGGCTCGGGGAGGGGGGGGGTCGGACGAAGCGATGTCCTTCGGGGTCTCCGGGGGTGCCGGGAAACAAACCGAGCCCCTTTCTTTGCAAGCGGTTCGCCCGGGTCCCGCTGCCTCCGACGGGGAGCGGGGTCGGGCAGCGCCGGTGCAGAAGGTCTCCGGGAAGGGCCAGGCTCCTGCTCGGCTGGTTATTTCCCTTTTCGGAGGGGAGCGGTGCCGGCCGGGCTCCACCGCATGGTCCTCCCCCAGCGCAACCGCAGCCCCCAGTGCGAGAAGAGCTTTTTTTTCTTCTTCTTTTTTTTTTTTTTTTTTTTTTTCTCCCCTTTCTGCTGTTGTCGCGGTGAGAAATCGCGGAGCGGCGCTGGCTTTCAAGGCAGAGCTGTGCGAGGCGGGCGGGCGGCAGAGCGCAATGGCTGTGGGAGCTGCCATGTGCTTGGTGCTGCTGTCGGGGGGCCGGGTGACAGGCCGGCAGGGCGGGCGGCACGGCGGGGCGAGGCGCGGGCCACACTCAAGGGTAGCCCCCGGCACAAAACAAAAAAAAAAACCCCAAAAAAGTCTTGCACGAAAAGTCTCCGGAGCCTCCTCGGTAATTCCCAGAGAGGCTCCCTCCAACAGGCTCCGGCACGCCAGCGAGATCCCCCCGCGTCGGGCAAAGCAGGCGCAGTTACACAGCTAGAAGGTGTCTGGCTTTTTTGGCTTTTTTTTTATAATTACCAGCAAATTGCGAGCAGCTGACGGGGAGCCCGGCACCGCAGCGGCGGGCAGCCCGCCCCTCGCCCCGTAGCCCTCCCCGCCGGCTGCGGGACCCCCCCGCCACCGCCCCCCGCACCTGATCCTTACCTAAGGCCGAGGTGAGCGCCTGCTTCCCGAGGCACATTGGCGGCCCCGGCGCGGAGTCCAGCCCGGGCAGTGTCGGCAGCCGCGCACCTCCCGCCGCCCGCCCCGCTCCGCTCCGCGCCGTCCCGTCCCCGCCGCCCTCCCGTCCCGTCCCGTCCCGTTCCGTTCCGGAGTGACTCCGGCCGCGCTCCGCCGCCTTTCAGCGCGCAGCCCCCGCCCGCCGCCCGGCCGCGCCCCCGTGATGTCAATGTGTCACTCCGCGGCCGCCCCCAAATCCCGGACTGGACTTCCCAGCCCCGCCGCCACCCGTCCCGGGGGCCCGCCGCTGCCGGCCGGCAGGGAGCGCGGAGGAGCGGGATCCCGGGAAGGGGGGTGTCTGTGTGTCTGTGCGTGTCTGTCTGTGTGTGCGTGGAGGTTGCGGAGCTCAGAGGGGTCCCCGCACACTCACCCGGTGACGGCGGGCCCCACCCGCGCGGGCGGCTGGAGGGGAGCTGCGGGGTGAAGGCAGGGATGGATCTTCTAGCTCCCAGGCAAGTCTTGCACGAAAAGTCTCCGGAGCCTCCTCGGTAATTCCCAGAGAGGCTCCCTCCAACAGGCTCCGGCACGCCAGCGAGATCCCCCCGCGTCGGGCAAAGCAGGCGCAGTTACACAGCTAGAAGGTGTCTGGCTTTTTTGGCTTTTTTTTTATAATTACCAGCAAATTGCGAGCAGCTGACGGGGAGCCCGGCACCGCAGCGGCGGGCAGCCCGCCCCTCGCCCCGCAGCCCTCCCCGCCGGCTGCGGGACACCCCCGCCACCGCCCCCCGCACCTGATCCTTACCTAAGGCCGAGGTGAGCGCCTGCTTCCCGAGGCACATTGGCGGCCCCGGCGCGGAGTCCAGCCCGGGCAGTGTCGGCAGCCGCGCACCTCCCGCCGCCCGCCCCGCTCCGCTCCGCGCCGTCCCGTCCCCGCCGCCCTCCCGTCCCGTCCCGTCCCGTTCCGTTCCGGAGTGACTCCGGCCGCGCTCCGCCGCCTTTCAGCGCGCAGCCCCCGCCCGCCGCCCGGCCGCGCCCCCGTGATGTCAATGTGTCACTCCGCGGCCGCCCCCAAATCCCGGACTGGACTTCCCAGCCCCGCCGCCACCCGTCCCGGGGGCCCGCCGCTGCCGGCCGGCAGGGAGCGCGGAGGAGCGGGATCCCGGGAAGGGGGGTGTCTGTGTGTCTGTGCGTGTCTGTCTGTGTGTGCGTGGAGGTTGCGGAGCTCAGAGGGGTCCCCGCACACTCACCCGGTGACGGCGGGCCCCACCTGCGCGGGCGGCTGGAGGGGAGCTGCGGGGTGAAGGCAGGGATGGATCTTCTAGCTCCCAGGCGAAGGGCTCCAGCTCCGCGGAGCCGCTCTGGTCACGCTGCCGAGGGATCCTTCGGTGTGTTTTCGCATCAGCATCTCAGCAGGGTCGAGCCAGACAGAATAGCTTGTGCCTTTATATTCATAAAACGTTTCCGCTCCTTCCAGCCTCTTAAAGAGGCAGCTGAGGGCTCCGGGAAGCGTTTAGCCTCGTAATCCTCCCATTAGATAGGAAACGGCTCTTCCTGCCGTTTCCCGGCTGGTACTGAAGCACCGAGGGAGCAGGGAGCGCACCCGGAGTCTTCCTCTGCCGCCCTCCAGCCCCGCTCTGCGCGGTCCCACCCGGGGCTCACCAACGCCTTCTGCCAGGGTGCTGGAGAGATCACAGGGATGCCTTCAAAGCCATTGGTTTTGAGGCCAAATACTATCTTTGTTTGGTTTGGTTTTGGTTTTTTTATATTTTTTTTTTTTTAGTGACTAAAGTGTTTTAAAAGGCAACTGAAAGAACGTGGAAAAAGGATGTAAAAAGAAATCAAAATTCCGAGAATTATTTCATAACAACACGCAACGTATTGGAACAGTTGAGACTTCCAACGCTTGGCTAAAGACCGCTGCAGCCCCAAGTTTATCTAACACACTCTAACTGGCTCTTTATGATCTCTTTCACAAAAATCATATTCTTCCACCTTTTGCCCCAAAGAAATAAAATACATATTAAGAATACGTGGAGCTGCTTAGGAAGAACTTCCATCCAAAAGTAAACAATCCCTATAAACAAGAACACAGCAGTGCAAAGGTATTCTTCTGTGACACAGTCTGTCCACTCAGACCACACTCATGGATGTTGTGCAATTATTTTTCATTAAACTTCACTAGGCTTAGAAAGAAAATACCCAAACTACCGTTCGGTTTTTTTTTTTAATTTCCATCATTATACAAAAACTTTACTTCATCCGCATATTTCTCTATGAAATAAAATATTTATGCGTCAAAGGTTATCCACTGAGTATCACCAATACTTCTCAGTTTGTCATTAACAGACTGCTGATACAAGCAAACTATAAATACTGCCTTCCCATTGCAGAGGCTCAGGTGAAAAACAGCAGCATAAAAATCTTTGGCGTGGTCATAAAAACATCCCAATTCATCATTAGTACTGCTAGGGGAATTAGAAAATGCGATTGCTCACCAAAAGCGTTCTCAGACACACTATGAGCGCAAAGTACAAAAGCATTTTCAGTGGAATCCATCTGAAAACTTTGGAACCTGACACGGTCCAAATGAACAACAATTCCTACTGAATAACAAAAGCAACCAAGAAAGCTAACGAAAACTACTATTCTGGGGTAGCGCTTAGTGCCGTAAATCTATCTTCTCCCATGATATTTTAGATTTTTTTCACCAAACAACTCTTGTGTGGATAAAGACAAACCAAAAGACGCAGCATTTACGCAGAAGTGCTACGCACAGCAGTTCTGGCAGGGACAGGGACAGCGGGAGCATCAGAGGCAGCAGTGGGTGAGCTGCAGGTTAACGGGGGGTAACCAAGCCTTTCGGCTTAGCGGGGCTCTGAGAACACTCCCATTTAGCAACTGACTTCTCACAGAAGTCCCTATTTATTTTTCCTGCTGTAAAAACATTGCTTAACACCTTTCCTTTCACACCTCCAAAGCTGGTACTACCTTAAAAGAAACACCTATGCCAAGCGTAAGAGCTTGATTTTAGAAATACAATACCGGGCTTAAATGGGTCAGTAAAATAACCAAGAATACTGGCAGTGGTTTACTATCACTTGGCACCCGAATTAACACTTAGCTGAAACAAGGGCAAACCCTACAGCTATGTCAGGAGCCTCTCCACAGGCTCAAGCAAACATGCCCACATGTCACGCAAGCCATCTCATCGGATTTTTTCTTGGAAATGGTAGCAGCGAGCAGCTTTTGTTAGAGAAAGGAGAGCTAAAGTTCTGGAGAATAAACTGGCAACTTGGAAGGGGATTAACACACCTTATGACTGCATCCTGGCACAGCCCGAGCCTGAGGATTGACACACAGACAGGGGTGCCATGCAACCACCTTATTTTCCGCCTCCAAACCCTCGTCTAAAGGCGCCTGTCTCTCCCTCTGACAAGAAGTCAGGAGGGACCAGCCCTCTCTGCCCAAAGTTAATCCTTCTGAAAAACCTCCCAGAATTAGGTTCAAGAGACTGAATGATGGCTGATAGCCGTGATTCAATCCCCGTTTCCGCTTTCACTTTGAGGATCATGTACTGGAGATAATCTCCACCTTCTGCAGTCGTACGCTACTTCTCCCTCCTGCAAGCTTCGGCGCGCCGAAAGGCACGTTGTACAGAAGCACAGCAGAGTCCAACATTGGGTTCTGTTTGTTTTTCTTCCTAATCCACACCCAGAAGGCAATTTCTTCTCTAGGCCACTTGATTGACCGCTACAGGTAGTGAATGACACCTTTGTAAAGATGAATTGGATAAACGCTGTGGTCCTTCCACTATCAGGAATGAGTAACACTGCTTTGGTGTTGCATCCCACCTGGGAATACCACTGTATTTCCCCCTAAGTGGCATCTCCCAGCCCCTGCTAAGGCACAGATCCCAGCTGAGAAAGAGGACACGTATTCAGTCGCACTTCACTCCTCAGCAGTTTGAGGTGGCTTAGTCTGTGAAAAGCAAGAACTATCCTATCTATCAGCACAGTATCATTTCAGAGAGAAGAGGTGACAAACAGCCCATTCCTGAAGCATTCGATATTCACTGGTCCCATCACTCATCTTCTGTGGTGATAACCATCTTGAGCCAATATAGCTTTGAGGAAAACTCAGCAGAGAAAGTGTTTACCTTTACACAAGTTATTTGCCAGTTAATAACCAACCTTCACAGCTGTAACAACATTTCTAAAGTTACAGAGGAATTCTACAACAATTTTAAAACCCACACACATTAGCATTGATAACGAAATTAGAAACAAAATTGTTGTGCCAGTCTTACCTTGAGAACGTGTATGTTCCCTGCCAGCTGTGCAGCGATCATCCTGCAGAGGTGGGTGTTGGGAGGAACAGCTGGGACCTGCAGCTCCCCGAAGCTTTGTGCCTTGGCAACTTCACTGTTGCACTGGGTGGAACATGGCGGGTTGGTGGTGTTTGGAGGCTCAGGAACTCACAGTGCACTCAAGAGAGCCTTGGAGACTCTCAGTGCAAGGAAACTATATGTACTTGTTGGGATAAGACCAGTAGAACTGAATATTTAACACTTACACTGGTAGGCCTATATATATTAAAAAAACCCCCACCACAGCAAACTCCAATAATCAGGGTTGTTGAGCCTGGAGAAAAGAAGGCTCCAAGGAGACCTTATAGCCCTTTCCAGTATCTAAAGGGGCTACAGGAAGGATGGGGAGGGACTCTTTATCAGGGAGTGGAGCGATAGGATGAGGAGTAATGGTTTTAAAAGGAAGGTTTCTGAGCAGCTCATTAAAAATCTTGGTGGTCCTATCTTAAGCTGGCTGGTGCGTGAGATGAAATAAAGCTATTCCAAAGAGCTGCAGTGAACCCCACAGGTGCTGTGGGGACAATGCTGTGCATTACCCCAAAAAGGGGCTGTGAATCACTTCAGGGTACGGAAGAGAAAGTGAAGGATGATGTGAGGCAGCATTTCCCACCACACTTTTGGCTAGACAGGTTGACCTTTATCTGAGATCAAAGGCACCAGCAGCTGGGGATTTCTTCAGCTTCTGTGCAAGGACTGTTCTTAAAGTTCTCTGGAGAAGTGCAGCCACGTAGAGCTGGTCCTTGCCATCACTGCGCTGTCTGGGGATCAGCACACAGGAAATCCTCAGTCGCAATGCAATCTCGAGTTTTCTCTTTAGAAGATAACATCAGTTTTTCTTAGAAGCAGAAGAGATAGTAAAAGGCAGCAGCCGGGCAAACCTCTGAGAACAAAGGGACGAACCTCAAGGTGAACCTGCTTCACGCACATTTGAACGTTGAATCAACGTACAGGGGAAATGCTGCAGAGCTGGGGGGTTGGTCCATGCCCAAATTCAGCACGAATGAACAAGAAAGAAAATGCAAAGGTTTGTAGAACAAGTTGAGGGTTTGAGAACACGCTTCCCCCCTGCCCCATGTCTTGCACCCTATCAAAGAAGCCGGTGTTTTCCTTGGGTTGTCCTCCCGAGCCTGGTGAGCAGCTGGAGACACAGGGTTTGGTGGCCAGGTCAGTGACACATGCCAGCTATTTCTGACTCACTGAAAGCTCAATTTGGGACTGGTGAGAAACACTTGGGGGGTGCAACTTGGCTAGAATCCATGAGATTTTTTTTTGGCCTTCCCAGGTGGTATTTTTTAATGCTATCTTGCTTTTGCTGTGAAGAATAGCAAGGCAACTTTTGCTGTCAAAAACATAATTGAAGACAAATAGCATGGAGGAAAAGCTGTAGGAAAGACAACACATCAGTAAAGGCACCCAACAAGAGGCGAAATGTCACTCTCCTAAGGGCAGGCCACAGCACATCTCACCATTTTTCACTGCTCACTTGCCACAGAGGCGACCGGCACATTCACATTTCCCCTGCAGATACACACAGTTACTTGTTTTCTCATCAAGTCTGTTTCTTCCTCCAAGAGCTGCCTCTGTAGACTTCACATTTAGCTGCTGTACTAACTGTCTGCGATACTCTACTAAGGCACCGATGATGTCTTCATGACTTTATATTAATTCTTAACTCTTTTAGCAAGTTAGCTAATATTACTTCATCTGCCTGTATAAAAAAAAAAAAGCTTTGTGAAAAAGGAAAACTGCTATTGGTGCTTAATACAGATTTTATTCATGTCTATTGTAAATGACATTATCTGCAACCCATTGCTTTCTGTCTTAGTACTAAGCAAACATGATTCCTTGCACAGAAATTAGAATAAGCTCTGGTGTATTGCAATTTTCACTGACAGGAGAGTATTCCTGTGTTGAATTACATTATCACAAATACATATACATATATATATATAGTAGTTTTAACATCACTAAGGAGAAGGAAACAAGGGTCTATGAACCTAAGAAGAAGGCTAAGTGTTAAAAGCTCTTCTTTCTTTCTTGTCATTTTGGATTGTGCAGATTTCAGAATGGCTCAGTCCTGACCCCTCTGTGTCCGTTTGCTGTCAGAGGCTGCAGAAAGACTCATTGCTGCAAAGCCACAACATAAAAGTGTTACTCAGTTTAGAGAGCAATTGTGTGGGTGCCTCCTTTGACCCACCTCTTATTTGAAGGCCTGGTATCTGAAGGCTCAACTTTTTCTATTGAGATGTTACCAGGTGAAAATTTGGCCCGCACATGGGATCAAAGGGCTGAGCAAAGCCCAGCTCCCCAGGAGGAAGCCGCCCGCTCAAGCCCTTGAACCCCAAAGCGGGGTGCGGTGGCAGAGGGTGCAGGACAAGAACACGTTCAGTGGAGCAGCTCTCACGTCTCTCCTTCCTGACACCTCCTTCCAACATTAATTATATCTCTGAGAGGTGCCAGATTCCTGGATTGTGGCATCAAATCCCAGTCTCCCCAGCTGCACTCCACTGCATTTTTAGCATGCAACTGAAATAAGAAAACTGCAACATTACTGTGAAGACTACACTGACTCAGTGGGTGGAGGAAATCTGCACATCATTTAATTTCTGCAACCATATGAGCTGTGGACTGCATTATCAGAGAAGGAGGTAAAGCTCTCTGCTAATTTAAATACATGGCTCTGTGTATGTTTTTATTATCCAGCCACTTGTGGCGACTCGGGTATTAGTGCATCTCTGGGAATGCCTACACTTCATCAGGTTGTGCAATCCGTCACTGTCAGCTGAAGGAGGTCTCAGGAGCAGCGTTTCTAATTTGATTTGAAAATATACATGGAAACTCGAGACTGCTTCTAGCGAGAATGATGGGGTTGGCCTAATGAACACAATCTCTTTTGTCGCTCTCAAGAACAGTGTGCCAACAGCTAAGTTTAGGTTCCCTCCACAGCTGTAACAGCTTCTGTAGAGAAGAAGTAACTTGAAAGTCTATGTCACATTCCTGGTTCTGTTTTACTGATCGAAAGGCATTTCAATCAGATTTTAACAGACCACCTTCAATTCCCTATAGTGCAAGCAGGGAGGAAGTTTTTCCACGCATCCCTTGAAAAGAAGTTTGCACCAAGCTATAAGTTTTCTTTTTCCACAGAAACTTCTTCCCCTGAATCTTAATCCAGGTGTATGGTACCAAATGATGCTATGAAAGTGGGTATCCAGAGACCCAGTTCTCAAATAGCTCAGTTGTAGTCTTTGCTTTCGGACCAGAAACTGGGTACAGGAAAATGAACATGCCACCAAATGTCACTGTGGCAGAGCCACACGTATTTCTGGTTGCAGTATCATCCACTTCAATACGTAAGTATTTACAGATTTTGACTTCTTATAGGAAAAACCTGACCAATCAACCAACCCCACACCTTTCTTTTACTCTTTTATGGTTGCAAAGACATGGAAAAGATCTCTCATTACAACCCTACAAGAGTAGAGCAACATCACTGGTAGTTTGTTTAGTCCTTATAAGAGAACAAAGCAATATAATTTTGCTATTCACCTGTTTCATTTTTTTCTTTCCCATTTTCTGAGTTTTACTTCAGAAAGGTGCTGGTTTGCATTTGGCAACTGAAGTATTAGGTGTCAAGATATCCCTTGTATGTTTGATGTGGTTTATCGTACTCTATGAGAGCTTGCTAGTCACATTTTGAAATTTTGCTCTCTACTAACAACTCTGTCAAGGAATATTCAATGTGAAGACACCAGATCCTACAGAAATCAAAGTTAATCATGGTTTCCTTTGTGACTGATGAAGTCAGGAGACTTCTGTATTTTGGAGATAATTTGTGTCTTTGCTCTTTGTTCTAATTATATATCTAATATATCCATGTTTTCTATATATACGTATATAGAAAAAGTTTTTTTATGTAGTTTTCTCTATATACAAATATAGAAAAATTTAAAAATATTATCCCTCAAGAGCTTTTGGGTTGAAAAGGTCAGACATCTCTCACCAAAAAAAATTGGGGAAACCCTTGACAATAACAAACATAAAGCACATACTGTCATGTTATTGATGAACAACCCTCTGGTTTCCACCAGGGAAGGAGACGGGCCACAGATGAGGCAGAAACAACCCAACAGAAGCCAATAGGAAAGCCTGTGCTGCCTCTCCTGCTGGCTGGCACCCAGCAGAACGTGTACAGGCACACGCTTAACATGTGTATGTTATGACACCAAAAATCATGTGTTTGTGTGTGTGTGTGTCTCTGTGTTGGGGAGGGGTGGTCCCACTTTTCGATTCCCTCAATAACTATTTTGAAACCACTGCTGTGATTCTTGTTTCTTTCTGCAATTCGTGAAACACACTATTCTTGAGAAGCCAAAGAATTTCAATGTATAAAGGCCCCATCTACTATTGAAACACACTCTGTTTAATGTATCTAATAAAGCCTAATTGAGATCTTGTATCTATTGCTTCCCAAGCTCAGTGGCTCTGAAAATTATGGAGAAAATTGTTTTTTCCCCCTAAAGTACCACACTAACCTCCCACAACCCTGCAGCTACGCTACCGCAGGATGACGTTTCTCGGATCATCGCTGTGATACTGGAGTATTCACAAGGGAAGTACCGTACTGCTGCTTACAGCTGTTTGCGTAGACTTACAGTGCCTAATCTGGCCTAAAAGAAGCATCTGAATGAAGATAAAAATGCCAAATGTGCCCAGTTGAATAATACAAAAGGCATTACCTGTTGTATTACCATTACCACACATTCTTTCTGCGTGTGTTTCCACTGCTTTTTATGTTAGCCTAGAAGGGTGGGCATCATTGGCCGGCTGAATTCAGTGTTCGTAGTAACTTCTCATCTTGTTTATTAAATAAAGAAAAAAACCCCGACAACAGATCCTTAGTGGGTTATAGTCTTTTATGCATGGAAGGCTAGATAGAGTATTCAAAAAGGTCCTTTTCAGCTCCAGCAGATACTGAGGTCAGCTGCTCAGCTGCTATTTAGGTCCATACCTCTTAAGGCAAGTGAAACAGCTGGCATCACCAGACTGGATTTCAGCTCTGTAGAGGGTAATTATCAAAACTTAAACACCACTCTGTTCTTATAGCAAACTACCACTGCTTTTCTAATTTTTCTCTAAATGCCCCATCTCCAGAAAATTTAAACAGAAGCCTATGATATTCTTATGCAGGTAAGATCCCGTTTTCAGTGTATTGCTACCATATGCTGAAGGTATGGTACAGGTTGTACACCAGGGCTCCCAGAAGTAGTGCTACTCATCCTTCATCATACAAACAGCATGATATGTGGGAAGCAAATGGAAAACAACATTTTAAGAGCTGGATCAGTGTCAAGAATTACTTTCCAAAAACATTTGCTGAACTTTTTTAAACTTGCCACATGAAAAAAAAAAAAAAGTTGAGTCAATTACAAACACTCCTTTAGACTCATTAGCTCCTGTAGACTTAATTTTCCAGGGTGCAATTGCTTTTAAGTAAAAGTGCTCAGCCCTTCTCAGGAAGACACAGAAAGAATTGGTTGCTCAGAGAGTTCTTTCTGAGTCAGGAAGGAGAATTCCTGTCATTGACCCTCCCTGGGCAGATCTTGAAAACCTTTTCTTTTATTTTTAGCGGTGTTATCGAAACACACCGCCCTCACGCTAAATGATACCTAGATGTCAAGTCAACTCTATGGCAATTATCAATTTCCATCAGAATAAGCTACCGATATCACCTTATATGTACATGGCATGGCAGTATTGAATATAAAAGATAACGCTACTGAAAGGTAGATGCAAAAAGTTGAAGCTTTAAAAAAAACACCCCAAACTAACTCAAAACCAGAAGTCTTATCTCAGAGTTTCTTACCAAACCATGGGAAATATTTTATCTTTAAAATAATATAAAAAAATGAGCCTGCCACTGAAACAGCTGAGAGAGATTAATTTTCAGCTCTCATACCGACATTAATTGTAAACTAGTAGAAAGTGCAGATTTTTTTTGATTGAAAGGACCAAGTTAGTTTTCATCATGAAGGCTTTCCATAATGCCAGGAGATACCCTCCCCCTCCCCTGCCCCAAAGAAAAGGGAGAAAGCAAGCAAGAACCATGTCAGGAAAACCAACCAGGTTATTTGTTACGTAGAGAACTTCCTATCTTTAGCAGAAGAATGGTCTGGTCATAAGCAAATACAAGCAGAAAAGTCAAATCCCAATCTCCTCATTCAGTGCTGTCACCCAGATCTCCCACTAACTTCACCGGAAAGGATGCCCAAGTAAAAGCTAATGAAGGTTTCTGTATTACATGTTGGTTTGATGAAACACGCCGTGTTCCAAATCACTTTCACATCATCAGTACTGTCACATCATCAGTATTTTCAGCACTACTTGCTGCTCTGCTGAGCTGCGTAGAGGAAAACAATCCTTTCTGGCAGAGAATGCGAAAGAAGCAGCGGAACAAGGCAAGCGGAGAAAGAGGAAGGTGGAAAGGACGGAACAAAAGATGACGAAAGCTCAGCAGGAGGAACAGATCAATACAGTCGGACTTGCCCTTGGGCAGAAACATGCCAAGAGCTTCTTCCTCATTTCACAAAATGAGCACGAATAATTCCTCCGTTTTCAGCACCTTCCTCCCATGTATCTAAACACCAAGCTTCACACCACTCTGCTCCAAGTTGTTCTCAGAGGAGAGATAAGCGAATACCATCTATGTGTAAGACAGGCAGTGACTGAGCTCCTGGAAAACAAACAGCTCTGTGGTATGGTCTGTGTTCTGCGTTATTAGCAGTCATTACATGAAGCATCTCTAAGCAACAGAGCGAACACAAACTGGTAGGTACCGTCTGCGTGGCTGACGGGGCCAAAAACACGCGAGACTGCTCCCACGGCACAGCAGCATCCAGCTGAGAGAAGCGTGACTATTTTTGAACATGACACCTCACAGCAGTGATTACTACACTTAGAAGCCTTTCAGACTGCTGCCTGATCTCAAGAATCAAATGCAGTTGTGCTGGGAAGCCCACTGCCTGGGAGAAGGCACTGGAAATCACCTGCGCAGAGAGGGGGGCTCTGCAGAGGAACAGACCTCCCTCCACTCCTGCTTTCAATGCCCCAGCGCAGAAAGACTTTGGTCAGGCTACATTCTGTTCTAACTTTTTCTTCCACTGTTTCCCCACCCAACTTCATCCAAATTCTTAGAAAGGTTATGTACAGACTTGTACAAAACAGAGACTGACACTAGCTCTTGGAGGATTTCCCAGAGCAAGTTTAACAGAGATTATATAACACGTTAAATCTGTGTTGGCTGGGTTTGGTTTTTTGTTTTTTGGGTTTTTTTTATTTAATATAGATGTTATTATACTAGTAGTTTATTCTTCCTACCTTAACCCTCCAACCACCCTTTCAAATAGTTAATTATGTTTTGAAGAGATTAAAAACCTGAGGTTATTATGTACATTTTATTTCCAGCCCTGAGATAAGGCAGGACAAACGTGTTACAATTGGAGGGTCTTACCAAGTCACAACCACCATTATTTTCCCTCCACATATGCTACTATTAAAGTCATGGCAGGCATCATGCCTTTAACTGATGTAACAGCAGAACTTTAGAGCTAGTACAAAACGTTACACCTATACTCTATTCTTTAATAAAAGATCTCAAAGTACTTTACAAAAAGGGGAGAAAGAAAGTCTCACCAGGGAGAAATGACTTCCAAAGTTGTTGCGAGAAGAGCCGACTGGGAGAGCAGTGTGACTTTCCTGAACCCTCGCCTGGAAACCTTCCTACAGATCCGCAGGTTCTAGATGTGGGGAAAGCAGCCTGGGTAAAAAATACCCACAATTTTCATTTAAAGACAGGGTCACCTGCAGAGAAACAAAACATGTCCTACATGGCTATTCCATTTTATCCAGTATAGAGTAATTTTAGCATCATGTGTGATTGGTAAGTTTAGTAGAATCTTCAGGAGCTTAAGGTATCAGTGGAAATATGATTTTAGATACATTTCATACATGCAGATATATTTTAATTCATGCCACCCCCAAGACCCAAGGAAGGAAATTATCCAAAAGCTGAAAACCAGATAGCTCAAGACTATGGGGGGAAGGGGGGGGGCAGGGAGGACAAACACGAGGCTTGCACAAAGCAGAGAGCACTTGGAGGTGTTTGTGAAGGAGCAATGATCAAAGCCTCAGACCTCATGTTGTTCTACTGCTGTGGCTGCTCTTCACTGTAGTAAAGCTCCTGCAGCTCTCAGGTAAACTGTAGTGCGCTCAAGGTTCAGAAAACAGGGTTGGGGTTTTTTTTTAGCCTAGGAGGCTTTCCCCCTGGCCCCTGAGGACCCCCATCTGTCCAGAGGCCTCTGATGGAACTACTACAAAAATAACTGGAGTTGCTTCAGTGCATGGTGAGATGCCTCAAAAGAGAAGTCAGCTTGAACACATTCAGCTCATGCTCCCAAGCTCTACAGGCTCTTTATTCACTTCAAAGCAGGGTTCAAATCCTTGGTAGTCTTGGCCTGCACAGCTTTGTCTCAACTTCTTCTGTGGTCCCCCCAAGACAATGCAATATGGTAAATCCGTCTTAAAATTATAGGGCACTCATAATATTGAGGATATTTACTATTCCCAAAAATACAGCCAAGTCCAATCCTAACAGAACTGACTTCAAAAAATAAAGCACATCTTCGTGCAAAGCCATCTCCAAGATGCTCTTCCAAATAAGCACTTTTGAAAACACAGCCAAAGCAATCAGTCCACCATGCTTTACTCTGAAGGAACCACCAGACAAAACCCAATTGGTTTTGTTGAATGTTCTTGACATTAATACACTTTCATTTTAAATACCATAATAATAGGCACCTGCAGTAACACAGTTTTCTTTTTTAATTTAATCTACAGTCATTTATTGTACAGGCTTAGTGCTTTTCTATTTTGTACTTAGTGTAATGCTTGAGGACTTTAAAACAAAAAAAATACAGCCTAAGGGTTACTAACAACTCCCTCCTCCAGTGGATGCTCACCATGAGGCTGATTTTGTTGTCACGCTGTGTAAGCTTTTTCCTGGGTGAACTCAGACAACATAATCTCAAATTAATTTGAAATAGTGACTATGTCCTTACCATGAGTGGATACTACATTGCTGGCAGGAGAAAAAATGGAGGATTGTATCAGCAAATGGTCTAAAGCTCGTTTGGGCAGTGCAGCAGAGCTTACCAACAGTGATGGCCGTAGAAATTGCTCAGGACACTTCCTCACTTTCTCTTGAGGTCACTCAGGCTTTGCACAGCACAGAGGACACCCGTCCAAGGATGGTATTCTTCTCAGAGCTCCGCTCCAGTTCTGCCTCTGGAGACAGCACAGTGCTGCACAGCAGCACAAAATTTTTTTTAAAGTGCTGTTCTGGGACCCTTGCTCTTCATGTCACACCACCCTTTCTGCCTTGCATCACCTCTTCCCCAGTGCTTCTCCTGTCTTCTGCAGCTTCCTCCACATAATTCACACCAGCTCCTTAGCACGTCTTTTACACAAGCCACACATCTTCTATCACGTTCTCTCAGGAGGTGACCAAGCAGACTTACATAAAAACCAGTAGCGAGGAACAAAATGGTCTGTAGAAGGTACAAGATCCTTTTGATGGCTACAAATGCTTCTAGAAAAATAAAACTTCTTTGAGCTTGTTATTGTTGCTGTGCTGTCCTTCTTCTCCATTGCATTGTTTTTCTTGTAGAGTTTAGAAATAAACAATGAGCAGACTTAAGAAGAAAGGAAGAAACTGCCCACATGTGCTTTCTACTCATTTCTCTTCCTCCATACTCTTGCTTAGGTTTTCAGTCTCCCAACTTTTCCTCTTCTCACTGAGAAGAGATGCAAAATTGCCATTCTCCCTCTTGATACCACTACTTGATACTAAATTTCTGAATAATTCAGAAGAGAATCTGTCTTAACTTCTTCTTCTAAAGCTTTTGCAACTGTGCTGAGCCCTGCCAATAATATGATAATGAAATATTTCTAGGAGGAAAAAAAAAAAAAAAAATCTGTAAAAGCTCTCTGCATCCATGGGGCTTGCTGCACTTCAAGAGGGGTTGCTCCAAAGATTTCAGAGGTCTGACTTCCATACACAGCAAAGACTTCGTGCTGCCCTCAGTGCTGCCCTGCTGCGATTGTTATCTTTTCCAGTCAAAGAAGCCCATTTTGGAGGAGAGGAGGAAGATGTGAGAATTTCTTTTTCCTGAAAGAAAGCAACTGAAAGGGTATTCTACCAGTTGCAAGAGCAATGCAGAAGCCAGGGCTGGTCTAGAAGAATGTAGTCTTTGATGCTAAAAAAAAAAGAACCAAACCAACCCAAACCAAAGCCCAAATAAAGTATGAATCCTAATGTCTGCCACTTTATATACACCTTAAGTGTCCGAAAGAGTCAAGCTTCAGAAACACATCTGCTAATCCAGTGCTGATGGGGTTAATGAGATCAAAGCCAAATTCCACTTTGTGCTCAGCAGTGAGACACTTCCTACCATAGGGCCAGGGTGACTGTGTCCCTCCTTCAGCTCACCAGGCACAACTAAATCAGCATTAAAATAACACAAATCATCCCCTACTCTGATTATAATCAGTATTCCCACTTTCTGTCTCCTTCCAGCTCCATCAAGCCCCACCTTTCCACATTAAAATCAGTCAGTGTTTAATTTCAGGGTAATCTTCCTAATTCACATGTTTATTTTCACACATTTTCTCTAGCTCCTTTCCCATCCCTCTCTCCCCCATTTATTAGTAAGGGCTCTGAAGCAGGCACTTACCTTCTCACCCAGCAGACAAAGTGATCCCAAAATGCAGATCCCAAGCAGTCAAGTAAGGAAAGAACATCTCTCCTACCATCTTCTTTCAAGTCTCTCTGGCAAGTGCAGGAAGGGGCCTGACAAAGCTGTATGCAGCCAATTGTGTTATCAAGGCACTTGGCACTACCAGCTGATCCTTGATTACTATTCATCCCTCAGGAAAATAAAACACCCTTTTGTAGTAAAAGTGTAACCGGTTACTATGATGCATTACATATTAACAAAAGCAGCTTTTTACCAAAATTACAGATGATGAAAGCCTGGAAGTGGAATCAGACCAAGGTAACCAGTTGTTTCTACATGTTTCAGATAGAAAGCAGACAGTTTAAGATTTTCACAGTGCTGAGAAGATCAAGTGGTGGGTGAGTTATGCCACATGTTTGTACATAAAATGGTAGTGAGTTCTGTAAAACAAATGTTAAGGGTAACATTTTCTGCTACAGCAACCTTTCTGGGATAGCATCCTACATATGCAACTGCCAGCGCTGTACTAACCTCAGTTTTCACAGGGTCTCTTTAACATTTTTGTGCTTTTCTTGAAATCCACACAGAAGTTTTCAACATGCTTCCATATTTTCCTTTTTTTTTTTTTTTTTTTTTTTTTTACCCTAAGTGTACTGCTTATTAAAGAGCACAGTTATCCGAAAGGCAGATTCTACACTAGGTAGAATTTGCTGGTTTGGTGGAATAATCCCTGCTTAGGTGGTGAGGAAGGAAGCATTCCAGAATATTAAAGGATTTGTTTGTTTGCTAATCTACTTAAGCACCCACAGGCTTTAACACCCACAACTTGTGTGCTTTAGGGATCTTTCATGTCCATGGCCACTCTCGACGCAACTGCTCTGCATGGAAGCTGCAGATTCAGACCGGGGCAGTGCAGCAAGATGACTATGGGACACTCACCCGAAAAGAGCTATATGGCTCTGGTCCTCCACCTCCCTGCCAAATCCTGCCCTATGTCCCTCACAAGCAGTGCCTGCCCATACGTAGCTGCAGTAACCCACATGCTCTGCTATTTCTGCATCAAACCCAACCAACTCGTTAAGACGGCAACCCAAGTGCCAGGAGAAGACCTCACGTGTAACGCCAGTGAGCCTGCACAAACACATTTCACATCCTCAGTTTGGGAAAAACTGGCTGACAGAGAAGGGGGGCAGCTTTAACTGGCATTAAGCAGCACAGGCTGGATGTAAGCACCTACCCCTGTGTGAAATTTGAAGCTCTTGCCAGCGGTGTGGAGGAAAGACATGACCTCATTATTCCACAGCCCAGATAATCCGTTCCTGGATAAAGTGAGAGCTGACAAGTGTTTCACCTTGAAGGTTATCAAAGACCTTTCCACACTCTGCTGATGCGGAGGCATTTACTTTACCAAACAGGGATGTGAAAACTCCTCTGTTAGTAAAGGAGATAAAAAAAACAGGAGGGTGGGGGTGGTTAAGAGCACACTGCCATGCCACACAGACACAGGGATCGAGAGGAAGAAACCAATGGCATTTCCAGAACCATTAATGCAAACAGGATATATTTGCACAAGTTGATAAAATATTTTTCTCAATATTTTGAGAGTTAATGCTCTCATTTCCTTCCATTTACCCCTAAGCACTTTCTCTAGGTAAGTGCCATGGGGCCCCTCTTCACATCAGCTACCCCCTCAGCACTTCCAGAAAGGTAGCCCGGCTCTTAGCTGGGATAAATCACTCTCTGGACCATCTTCTAGCATCTCTCCAATGACTGCTGAAGGAACCCAGAGCGATTCCACTCCCCTAATCTTTTAGTTGAGATGAATCCAAGCTTTATGGCCGTGGGTTTTACACAGGCACGTGCAGTCAATGTGCTAGCCTCAAATTTTGTTGGAAGGACCTGTAATCTGTTTGAGCGATGGCTCCACACTAGTTCAAGAGGAAAGAATGTCATTGCCTTCTCTTGCAACACCTGCACTCTTGCTGGAGACCTGCCACGCAAACACAGAGCGGGGCTCACCCCCCAGCGCCGGTCTGGCCCTTGGCAGACCAGTTAACAGAGAAAACACACATCTCCTTCTCCTATCAGGGCTCTGGAGTTGTTGGATTTAAGTCTGCAGGGAAGAATGACACCATTTAAAATATTTAACACAGAACACATAAAGCCCTGGAGAAAACGGATGGCTGAGTTTCCTACAGAAAAAGATTAATAAATGAACAGGTAGCAGTTGCAGAAAGAGCAGACACAAAGCTCAAGATCAGGAATACGCTTCAACCGAAATATTTGTCTTCCAGATGTCAACCTGCCATTCAAAACATGCCCAACTACAATTGTGATTCTGCATGCCC